ATATAGCATTAAACATTAATTGAAATATTTTCATGGCATAATAGTAGCAAAATCCAAATTAAAATCCACACCATTTGCTATAACAAAATCCATACAAATTCCAATAACTAGTAATTGAATTGTGACATGTCCACCAAAGTGGGGTAGGTGGCGGCAGCTGGAGCCTATAGCGGCTAGTGCGGTTGCGACGTTGATGGGAGTGGGGCGCGACAGCAACGAGCAGGTGACGGGAGTGACGACGAGCAGGCGTGGCGAATTGCGATGGCCGTCGGCCGATGGAAGAGATGACAGGCTCCCAGACGAGACTCGAGAGTGAAGACTGAACGGGATGAAGGGGATTTGGGCACTGTAGATGCGGTTGCGACGGTGATGGGAGTGGGGCGCGGCGGCGACGAGCAAGTGACGGGAGTGGCGACGAGCAGACGACGAGCAGATGGGAGAGACGACAGACTCCCAGACGAGACTTGAGAGTGAAGATCGAAAGGGATGAAGGGGATTTCAGGATTTGGGCACTGTAGAAGGGTTGGGCTGAAGGGGATTTGGACATTTGGCCCATTTGGAATTTGGATTGAGCTTTATAATTAAAAGTGACCCTAGTATGGGTTGAGCCGGTATTACCGACGGTAAAATACCATTTAAATACGGTAATTTTCGAAAACGATCGGAAAAGGGCTAAACCGTTTTCGTTTTCATTTTCGAATTTTTTTACCATTTCCATTTCCATTTTTCCGGTTACCGTTTCCGTTTCTATTTAGCCTCCAAATCCAAAAAAAATTCGAAAACGATTCCCGGTAATTGGAAATTACCGTTTTCGTTTTCATCCCTATGTATTTATTCTTAAAGAAAATCAAGGTAAAGGAACTTGTTTGTTTCCTTTCATAGACGACAAAAACATGCAACCAATCTATATATCTTTCTCGACCCTCTTCTGTTCCAAAATGTGATACTGTGATATTTTTAAATTGGAACATAAGTGATTCTACAAATAACATGAAGAGGTAAAAGAGTACAAATAAAGCATCTACGCGAAAGGCGATTGATTACTAATTGAGATAAATCCGTTTATTGTTGTTTTATTCCAAGAGCCAGAAATTTTTACACATTTGCTGTTAATATAAGGTTGTTGTAATCCTCTTGATCCCCTTTAAAGCATCTCCAATGAACACAGTGAATTGCAGTCTACATGGCAGTTAAATAGAAGGCTTTCTGATGTAGGGAAACGTGAACGAATGGGAATAATAAAACGAGATACTCTCTCGATAAAACACAAAACTCAAATATCAGAAATCTTCTTCAAATTCAACCATCTGACTACGGTAGAGATGAGATAAATATATAGAGTCCTACTTATCTTGCCTAACAAGCTAGGCTAGATATTTATTTACTTACTAACTATAATAAAATAACTAAGGTAATAAAATAAAAGGGAATAATACTAATAAGAAATAAATAATCTAAATACGAAGCCTATCATATTTATTTAGAAACAAAATCGCGGTCTCGTCTCCATCATCCTCCCCCGGTTGAGAAGGATTCGGCCGCGAATCCGAACCGGTCTCGTCTCCGTCAAAGTCAAAGCACTGCAAAGGGGCCAAATGTGATACGTGAAAAACATCCGACGAAGGCACGTGAGAAGGTAAGTGGAGACGGAAGGTATCCAACGAGAGCCAATCGACGAGCTCGTAGGGGCCGATCCAACCATCCGACGCGGATTCAGCCCACACAAAATCTCCCACTTCAAAAACCCATGATCGATCACCCAACGAACCACAGAACTCCGCACATGGCCCGGAGCGAGAAATAAATAATGCCGGTGACCCTCGTGACAAAGGGGACCCACTGGGAGCCGACGGGTGTAAAACAATGCGGAAGCCGTCATGTAAAAGCTCATAGGTGTTAAGCCGACCATCGTGAAGCACAGACCTATCAAACTGCCAAGGACGGCCCAATAAGAGATGCCAATCATCCATAGGCACTACATCACACCAAACCTCATCCTTATAGGCGGAACCGACAGAAAAAGACACCAACACACGACTGTTGACATCAACAGCATTAGCCCGTTGTATCCACGCAAGAGAGTAAGGATGTGGATGGGGCTCAGTCAACAACCCAAGCTTGGCCACCGCCTCCTTGGAGATCACATTGTCGCTGGCACCCGAGTCAATCACAAAACGACACACACGGCCACCAATGGTGCACGTGGACTCAAACAGCTAATGTCGTAAGCTCTCAATCTCGAGAGATAAGTGGGGCGACAAGAGCGAGCGACGAAGGACCAATGCAGTACCGACGTCCCCCGAAACATGAACCACGGGCACCTCTGGCTCCGTATCGAAAACAGGAGGGCCATCATACTCTCCCGACCCAGACTCGTCAATCAGCAAAGCCCGCGGCCCTTTCGCCTTTGTGCATTGTGCTTGGCGATGTCCCGGTTCGCCGCAAGCAAAGCAGCGAAGCCTGCCCCCAGGCGAGAGGCCAACTTCACGCCCGTCCGAAGCCATGCCGACACCCGGTGGAAGAGTCGGCGGAGTCGGTGTCGGAGCCGCAGTCCCATTCACCCCTTTGGCAGAGGGCCCAAAAGACGAGCCGGCCTTTCGAGCTAGCTGCTGTTCGATCATCAAAGCCCGTTGATGTGCATCAGAAACTGTGTCGGGAATAAACATATTTAGTGTATCCTAGATGACAACACGTAAGCCGCCCACATATCTCGACACTAATTGGTCGGTCGTCTCCCAAACCTCCACACGAGTCAAACGGCGATAAAATTCCTCCGTATACTCATCAACGGAACGTGCCCCTTGCCGTAAATTCTGAAATTGCTGATAAATTGAACGAGCATAATTAAAAGGCAAAAATTCACGTTCCAAGTGCTTACGAAATTTAATCCAAGTCGTGATCTTCGGCTTGCCCTGACGATGCCGCGAACTCTTGAGTTGCAACCACCAAGCCGTCGCACGCCCACGAAGCCGTGTAGCTACAAGCGCGACACGTCGATCATCCGGCACAACCTTATACTCGAACACAGACTCGACGGAAGCCCACCAATCCAGAAAATCCACAGCATCAAGCCCACCCGAGAACTCGGGAATCTCGACCCGAAAACCTTGCTCCCAGCGTGAGTCACCGTCGGCCTCCATCCCTCGAAAAAAAGGACGTCGCTGCAGCCCATGGTACACGTCACCCCGACGGAAGCCGCGCTGCTGCTCGTCATCCTCCGGAAAGTCCCAACCACGCCGCTGTCGTCCGCCACCGTCGAAGGCATGCCCGTCGCCGTCCAGGTCCCAATCGCGACGTCTCTGGTCATCTGCACGGTCGCGACGGTGCTGATCGCCGAGGACCACGCCGGCACGATCGTCGCCACCGCCAAAACCTTGTTCGTCGCGTCGGCCCCCGCGAGGTTGTTGATAGTCACCATCGGGCCAATCGCGTCGAAACCGTCTGAGGCCTGCACCGTCGCGGCCGTAACCCCAGGCCCCGCGGTTACGATCTCCACCGGCGATTTCCTGTTCGCCGCGTCGACCGCCCCGACCACCATGCCCGTTGAAGTCATCCTCGTTGTCACGGGGTTGCTGCAACTCCGCAAACGGGTTAACCACGGAGACGGTGTCCTCATCGTCGTCCTCGCCGGACGGCAGTTGTGGCGATCGCCGGCGGGGCGCCCCGCCTAGACCACGACCACCACGACCCCCGCGAAACCCCCCGTGCACACCTCGGTCGCCGGCAGCACGGCTCGTTTGCAATTCCCGGACCACGTTGTTAAGCGCCAAACGTAGATCTACGATCCCCGAAGAAAGACCCTCAAATCGTTCCATGAAACGTTCCTCCAACTGCACAAACCGATCGTCAATTTGTTGAAACCGGTCGTTGAAGACTGCGTCCCGTTGATCGTTTGCGGCATCTTTTTTGGGCGGCATCGTTGAATCGAATCGTACTGACTGCTGATACCAACTGATGTAGGGAAGCGTGAACGAATGGGAATAATAAAACGAGATACTCTCTCGATAAAACACAAAACTCAAATATCAGAAATCTTCTTCAAATTCAACCATCTGACTACGGTAGAGATGAGATAAATATATAGAGTCCTACTTATCTTGCCTAACAAGCTAGGCTAGATATTTATTTACTTACCAACTATAATAAAATAACTAAGGTAATAAAATAAAAGGGAATAATACTAATAGGAAATAAATAATCTAAATACGAAGCCTATCATATTTATTTAGAAACAAAATCGCGGTCTCGTCTCCATCACTTTCTCTACATGTGTACTGAATGGACTAAATCACTCTCCAGTGGTAAATGTCTAAATACAGTAAATGTAAAGACATGTGTTTTTTTCTCCCATTCTAAAATTAAAATTAAAGGAAAAAAAAAAAAAAAAAAAAAAAAATTGATTCACCATGTCTAACAAAGACTTCTACATATAGAAGGACTTCTGCCATTTTATTCTTTCTCTTTCATGTCGCGTTATTATGTGTGGAGTCTAAACATTCACGGTTGGAGACAATTTTTATGTATCTTCTTTTCTATATTTCTACAATGAACCGCGTCCAATGGAGATGCTATTAGACATGCGCAATTCTATACTAACACTAATAATAACCAAGATTTCATAATCACTGTCCATTTCCTTATTTATTTTCTTTCTTACTACATTTCATGGTAATAACGAAATTTGTTGCGAAATATGGCAGTGGAATAATTATTCTGAAATATGGTGACTAGAAACGGCAGATTCTACGCATTGCTGGAAATATAAATAACAATGTTTCTGGATAGCTAGAAAGAATATGGGAATTCCCAATTCAATAACCTTCACCAAAATAGCAAAGATAAATCAATAATTTCAATTCTCTTCACTATTGTTGGGAACAACTTCACCACAAATTTCCGAAGATCAACAGATTTTACAGGGCAAAAAGAATGTAATCAACATAATCTCAAGAAACTATGGTTTCCTAGAAAAATGGATGAGAATAAGCACCTGTTGATCATCAAGCTTTTGAATTCAACTTCTCGAGAAGTATCTTGTTCAAAAGCCCGGGATTCGCCTTGCCTTTTGTTTCTTTCATTACCTGGAATCGGACATAAAAAAATTGTTAGAAACTCCCACAGAAAATAAGGAAAATAAACTTCCACCCTATACTCAGAAACTCACCTGCCCAGCAAAAAAGCCTTGTAGCTTAGTTTTACCACCTCGGTATTGTTGTAACTGTTTTGGATTGTCCGCAAGGACTCTATCCACTATTTTCTCGATCTCGACCGGGTCCACGATCTTAAGGGTAAGAAAAACGATCTAGTTAAGTTTAGTAATTCACACGAATTCAACTATGCTTTTTAAGCCAATTCAAGAATTTTTTTTAAAAAAAAAAAAAACACTCAAACGGCATCACGGCAAAACTTGCCTGAACCAAATCCTTTTCTTTGATAAGTCCTTTAACAGTTCCACCCTTGACCATCAACTCAAGCAGTATCTGCACATCACACAAAAAAAGGGGATAAACCCGCATCTTCATACGTTGATCATTGCCTCTCTAGTCTATATCATATATCAAGAGCTGAGGAAAGTCTATGAATAAGAAAAAAAAATGAATAAGCCTATACTATATATATACTTACTACTATAAAAAGAGGATTGGTTCTGTAAAAACACTACACAGACTAAAAAGCCATATGTTTGGCATATCTTTAGTAATATTATTGTAATTCTTATTAAAAAAAATCCAATCTAATGGAATTCTTATTCTAATACTTCCAACTTAATTCTTAAGTTCCTTCCACTTTGCAAAAAAAAAAAAAAAAAAAAAAAAAAAAAAAAAAAAAAAAAAAAAAAAAGAAAAGAAAAGAAAAGAAAAAAAATCCAATTCTAATGGTGTGATTTACTAAAGGTAAGGACCCTGACCGATATTAATAATATATTACATTATAAACAAATGGGAAAACAAAAGTACATCAGATCAAGAGTCGAATGTATACAAAATTCCACATAAGCTTTGATTTTTGTTTTAACAATAGAAGTAAAATTAGTTCAAATTGAGAAATCAAGTTAGTAGGCCATTTGACAGTTAAAACAAATGAATTGGATTTAGTAATTTCATAAAATCATTTTAATTTTAACTTTAAGCAAAAAAAAAACAGAGGGGATTAAAAGCTTACCATTTGCAGTTATCGATCTAATGTTTATATAATGAAATTTTGTAGTTTTTATAAATAAATTGTGTTCACTAAAAACATATAGTGTTTGGTATATTACAAAACTGAGAAATTAATCCGGTCCATTCAGCCATGCAAACAAATGTAAAATAATTTTGATATATTTTGTAGAATTAAAATTGGTTCAGATTACGAGTTCAACCTTTTTTTCCAACTGTAGGTGTCAATTCATGTTTAAGAATACAATAAAATTTTGTATTTGTATATTTTCATAAAAAAATGTAGTGACTAAAAGATTTTTGTGTTTGGTATATTTTAATCAAAAAAAAATTAAGCAACTAATGTAAAAGGATTCTTAAAAGTTGCTAACATGAAAAATGTTTAATTTTTGCTTCAAAAATTGTCTTACAAATTCTTGATACATGTGTTTCATGATTTCCTTATTATATGTAAATAGTGAAATTGAAAATGTATTTATTTTCAGATCCAATGAATAAAAATTTGTTTAGAACATAAAAAAGTGCCACCATTCATCAATTATATGTGATTGCAGATTTTTCAATAGCTAACTATGATATCATGTAGGAATAGGACAAGAAAAAATTAACATAATTTATCAAAAACTATAAATAAATATATAGTACAACACCAGAAGAAAAAAATGCAATTTGCTTGAATAGATATGATTAGATAAAGCATGAAAATATTATAAAATGGTCTTTTAAAAGAACTGAGAAGACCATGTAATTATGTTGAATTTTACACTTTTATTTTTTTTTTTATTTTTTTTATTTTTTTATTATTATTATTAACGATCATGTGGCAAATAATGTTTTTTAAGTTAGTTGTGTGGGGACCACATCTCCGAATATAAGAGCATCTTTAGTGGGACAGATAAAAATTATGTGCCGTAGATATCGTCTCTATATTATTTCTTCGAGTGGGCTATTTTGTAGGCCATGTTATGATGACATGGCGATAACATTTGCATCTAGAAACACATCATCAAATAGAAGGGAAAACAAATACAAAATGAGAAAGTCGCTGCCAATATTACATATTTTAATTTTTGTAGATGAAAACCATTTTTTTAATTCGAAATAATTAATCTAAATGTTGCAACTAAAATTTTAATATTTGTTTTAGTAATTGCACTTCAACATTTTAAAAAACTAAAATACTTTATTACTTATTTTATTTTGTGGAGATAAAAGCCAATTTTTTTTTTTTTAATTTGAAATAATTAATCGTATGTCGTATTTCGTAATTAAAATTTTAATATTTTTTCCCAAATGATCTTTTGATGGTGTGTTAATATGTTTTATCCTTGAAATATTTCTTAAAGAACTACTTTATAATTTGATTTTGTTTAATTTTAAAAATAAATATATGCATGAATGAAAGTATGCATTGGAGATGATAATCCACAATCGTTATTTATCCGTGGACAGTGCTTTCATATGAAATCACAGTCCAACTGTTTATCACCATGTGGCAGAAAATTCTTTACCCTAATGATCCTCTTGGGAATAAGAAAACAAAGCCCCGACAATAAAATTACCTTTATCACAAATGAAGATTATAAGACAATCAAATCCTCAGACAAAAGCAAATAGCAAGAATATCATTCATACAATCATCAATAAAAAAAATAATAAAAAAAAAATGATGGATTACTACATTCAATCTTTTTCACTTTTATTTACCTCAGAGCCTCAATTGCTTTCTCGTTTACATTTCATATATTGCATTAGGACATTATAACGTTGTTAATCTTTTTACATCAGGATAGTATTATATAATTTCATTTTGTTTCCTTCACAAGAATACACTTTTTCTATGTTGTGATATTATAATTTAATTACAGTTCACATAATTGTTTAACCAAGTATCCACTTTTTATATTTGATGTGCCACTGAGTTATTACTTATTAGTATAAAAGAAAACAAGATTTAAGTTTCATTACAATGTGCTAACTTAAATAATTTTTTACGACAAATCATACCACCACGTGCATCATAGGTTTCACTTACTAGTAATTATAAGATGAACGGAAAATAGTGAGTACTATCACTTACAAGTAGATATAAATTGAACAAAGGATAAGTGAGTACCTCTTTGCCAATCTTTCCACTAATTGTTCCGCCTTTGATTGAGGCTATGAGCTCTCCCAATTCATCAGGGGTAAGTTTAATTTCGTTGATAGATAGCTTTTCATTATTCATATAAGCAGCAATGTCACCCATTATCCAATTGGCAGCAAGTTTAACATCAGCACCTTTTGCAATTGTGTCATCAAAAAATGCTGCTACCTGCAAAAGACATTTATAGTGCGTATTAAAACAAAACCACCTTTGGGGGATACCCACCACAAAGTAGGAATACAACTGGGTGTCTTCTAACCAGGCAAACCTCAAGGAATTGTTTCTTTACTCTTCTTTGTTCTTTTTTATACTTGGTATTTACCGTGAGAAAATATACTGATAACCTCAGCAATGCACATTCAGCTGTTCCAACTACACTCTGCATTAGTTAGCATGTTACAGTGCAACACGTGTGACCTTATTCGGTTATATCAGAACCATAAGCAGAAGTTGACATTTGAAAACACCAAAATCACTTATTCTTATCTTCTTCTTTTTTTCTCTTCTTTTAGCTATTGCAAACAATCCCGTAACTGAGACTCAATCAAAAAGGTAAAAAATCACAACATCTACCATGCATATATTCTGTAATTAAGAGGGAACTGAAACAGGGAAAGTAAAACAGGTATTACTTACACTAACGTCATTTGTAAGAAAAAGAACATCTTGCATGCTCAATCCAAAGTTCTCATATCTTCTACGTTTCATTTCAGGTAATTCGGGTAACGAATCACGAATTCCATTAATGTACCCCTCACTGAGATTAACTCCTGGAAGATCAGGCTCTGGAAAATATCGATAATCAGAAAGTCCTTCCTTCTTTCTCATTGTTACTGTTTTCTAATTTGCAAAAGAGAGAACCAATGGGTCAGTAACAATGTCATGGAGCTACGATAATAAGATACTTATAACAATTTACATTAAATGACCCTCAGAGTTTGCCCAATCACAAGTAGCCTCATTATCTTTCTCACAGCAATTTCAAGGGCGAAAAAGAGAATATTTTGTAATTAGAATAAACCTCAAAGGTGTGTTTTTTTTTTTTTTAATAAATTTACTAACCCTTAATTTAAGACATAATGAAATATGACCTGAGCTCCTTCCTCCCAGAGACGAGTCTCTTGCACAATCTGATTAGCCTGGCCTTGATTGTGAAGCTGAACTTGCCGTGATATCTCAAAATCAATGGCTCTACTAATTGATGAGAATGAGTTCAGGTTTTTTATCTCAACCTGTCCATGCAAATTATCACTGAATATATCTTAGGTCAGAAGGGAAAGTGAAGAAAAAGGAGGAAGGAAGAAAAGAAAAACGAGCAGCTATATTACAAGAACCAATCGTCTCAATTCTTGAGCGCAACCTGGACGACTCATAAGTTACTATAAAATTGAAAAAGCTAACCATCCATGCGCCACTCCTTATTTTTATTTTGTTTAAAAAAAGAAAGAAAGAAAGAAAGAAAGAAAGAAAAGAATAAGAAAATCAGTTGAAAAAGATTGCACTAACTTTTAAGAGGACAGTTCTTTGAAGTAGCAACTACACTCTAACAGTTCAAGTGTTTTTGTCTCACAAATAAGCAGTAAAAGAACAGTGGATTAAAGCAATATTTCACCTTGGTACCAAACTCGAGTTGCCCAATCGGGCGAACAGAGATGTTGACATCACAACGGAGGGAGCCTTCTTGCATGTTGCCATTACTCACTCCAAGGTACCTAACTAGTCTCTGTAGCTCAGCACCATATTCGGCGGCCTCAATACCCGTTCTCATGTCAGGTTCTGACACAATCTCAAGCAACGGCACTCCTGCCCTATTCAAGTCAACCTGTCATTTTTTTTCAATCGAAAGAATGTTGAAAGAGTGAAAGAGAAATTCCAGATGAAATCAATAACAGCCTAAAGAGGAGTACAGCAAAGGTTTAACATCATATATTGGTACACCTTATTATCTTCAAAAAACTTGAGCCTGAAACAGGTTGCTAGTGCGAAGATTAAACGACTGAGGAATCATTGTGCAGAAATTTTTCATGATTAGAAATGTGAGAGCAAGAGGAAGTATTTGTGGAAATTTATCCTGTAGAAGAAGTGATTTATTTGGGCAGAAGCTGAAAATAGTTGAGAATCAGAGGTTAGGTTTAAATGTAGACCCTAAAAATTGAATAGATAAAAGATGGTTCTGTCCGTAAGGTCAAAACCACGAGCAGTACTAGAAATTTAAAGCACCTATCCTTCTCCCTCTCTCTCTCTTAGTCTCTCCATCTCTCTGGTGATGTTAGATTTTGATTAAATAAACCAGAATCATATGCTGGTGTTCATATCTGGAAACACTGAGATCGAATTTTTATCAAGCAGAGACTGACAAACACCTTTTCTCTTTTAGCAATTGCACTCAGTCCTAAAGTACTAGGACAAAGCAAGTAGAGCACGTTCCAAAGAGGCCCACTTAAACACCATCAACTAACTGATAGTGTACAAAACCTTCAAGATGGATTAAAAATAAGTAGGAGATAATATGATAAAAAATAACAGATTTGTAATTTGCCTGAGAAAAGTTCCCGTTCCCAGTATGAAGCAGCTTCCCGGCATCCTCCTCCATATGAACCCGTGTGATGCCAAACTTTCGATGCCCGCCACCAAACTCGACTGGAAGATCAACGTCTAAATAGCCGTTGCTGGCAATAGGGACATCAAACTGTGAAATTTGGTAACCTTTTGGGAGGTCAGGATAGAAGTACTGCTTTCTATCAAACTTGGAACCCGGAGAAAGTCTGCAGTTGAGTGCAAGGCCCACTTTGACCGCATACTCTATCACCTTTGAGTTGAGCACTGGCAGTGCTCCGGGCAGCCCCATGCAAATCGGACAGATACTGCTGTTTGGCTGGGCCCCATAATTGTAAGGGCAGCAGCAGAAGGCCTTCGTGTGAGTGGAAAGCTGGACATGGGTCTCAATACCTATGACCGCCTCATAATTTTTCAATATTTCTTCAATTTTCTGTGATTTTTTCAGGGGTGATGATGTTAGCTGAGTGTGGTTCTTTGGTTGTTGTGTGGCTGTTTGTGCTTCCGGAATTCTTGTGCTACAGCATCGTACACCATGTTTTCTAGCAACATATACTGATGAGTACAACTGGAAACAATTTGGTCTCACGCCTCTAAATAATGTCAATGCCATTTCGAATATTTGTAAGTCTTCAGATTTTGTGAGACATGAGAAGTATACCTACAAATAGCATTAATACCTACAATGCATAAACTTTACATAAGGAAGGAGCCTTTGGCTACAAGAACCAGTTGAGAGATAAAAAATACAGAAAGCCTCAAACTTGAAATGAAAACAGATTTAAGCTATAAGAACAGGCTATGGGCTGTTCAAATTCACGACTTAGTGATTAAGAATTCAAACTTGTAGGCATGCCAAAACGGCCCGGGGGGGTGGGCCAGCCCGCAGCCCGTCGAAACCCGCCGTTCGGCTGGGCGGGCGCCATTCTGGCAGGTCTTTAAAATGCCAGCCCAGTCCACCCCCGCCACGGGCAGTGGACTAGGCGGGCTGGACCAACAAAATTAAGGGGGGGAACAACAACAAATTCAGTGTTCATACGAATCAAAAATAATCATTTTAGTCCAAAATTAATCAAAGTTCAAATGTGTTCACACTTCACAGAATCACAGTCCACATACGCATCCAAAATCAATCCATAAGCCAAAAAATTCAGCAATCATTACCGGAATGGAAGCTGCTTTGCCGCTCGGAGTCACTCTCTGTGCCGCTGCCTCACCGCTCAACGCTCGCCGCTCGCCGGCTCGCACTCTCGCTTCCTCACAGCCGCCGCCCGTCGGCCGTCTCGAAGGTCTCGCAGGTCACACTTCTCGCCTGCCACAGTGCCTTCGTCGCCGTTAGGGTTGAGAGTTTTTGCCCCAAATAGTTGAGAGATGAGGTTAGGATTTAGGATAGGGGTTCACTAATCGTCTTCTCTGTTTTGTCATTTGTGTTTCATTTTCTGAAATGTAAGAAGAGGAAACGTGTTTGAGTTCGGGTACGGGAATGTCGAATGTGTTTTCAAAACTAGTGCATATGTTGTGCACGAGAAAGTAATATAAACCCTTTTTTTTAACGAGTAAAAAAAATATATCATTAATCACAAAAATAAGTCAGTACATATAAGTTCTTTTAAGTTAATATGGAAAAACATTCACTTTCCCATAAGAGAATTTGAAAAAAAAAAAAGAAACAAATTTTACAAGAGCATGAGCCAACGAAGCATAGGATAAAGACGTTAAGATGCTGCTGAGAAATGAGAGCATCAATATCTTTATACCAAGATCAACTATAGTCATGTGTCTCGTCCATGTTGGTAACGGCTTGTACCGCCAACAAAGAGTTCGTGTAAATAACGAGCAACATTTATCCAAACCTACTTTGAGTTGTCAGGAGCTCACAATGGATAAGCAAATCGGACTAATGGCGGGCATTCCATAGGCAAAAAACGCTCTACCTTGATCATCACGAGTGATTCTCCCTATATCGAATCTGTCAACTTTCAGATTAACACTTGCATCCACATCAAGGCGAACTGAACTTTCGAGAGAAGAGTCCATTTGATCTTTCTTTGACTATCTTATGAACATTGAATATTCAGAGGGATGCCGGATGAAATTAAAAGTTACTTGATATGCTTTCAACTCCAGCAACTAACTTGAGGCATTGAGATTGGGACCATGGATAACCTTTTGTCTTTCTTTCCAAATTAACCAAGTTGACAGAGCAAAAAAAATCAAATTCGAGAATTACAGACTTGCATTCATATACAAAAATCCAAAGTAGAGCGAAATTTTGCCTTTTTAACAAGATTGAAAAAGATAGTATTTTTCCATAGTGGCATTACCCGAGAAAAGAAAAAAAATAGAATGCATGGATGTATCATAATAATAATTGCACAGCTATGCACCCACTGGAAGAGAGACATGGCAATTAGTTAAGTTTAGAGTTGTGGAATAAAATCATTTGCTAAACGCCACCAAAAGGTTTTGACCTTTAAAAGGATGTTCAAGGCCATAAGAATTTCAACCACTTCTGAAGTTTCATTGCATATTGGCTTTCGGGGGAAGCGTAGAATCCCGTTTCAACTTTATTGCCCTCTTTAACTGAATAATTTCCTTTACCATCGGACCACCAAAAATGATCGCCCTTTAAAGTTAAATGTTGGAGTAAACAAACATATTAAAGTTATTTTTAAAATTAAATATTGGACAAAATATTCATATTAAGTATTATTATAATTAAATGTTGGATTAAATGAATATATTATACCGTTGAATAAACTTAATACTAATTTTAAGGTGTTTTTGACATATCCTTTCAAAGTATACACAAAAAGTATTGGTGTGTATATTTTTTTTAGATCAGGCACAAATTGAAGTATCCCCTAATTTAAATTTCTTAATATTTTTATTCATTTATTAATTGCCTTAAATTTTAATGATATCATTTACTTTATCAAGGAGATCAAAATAATGTAAAAAATATATTAATGATTTCAATTTTTTTAATCGCCACTTAAGAATACTAAATTAAAACTAATTTTAAATGTTAATGTATCTAAAAAAGGTGAGTGATTATCTGCATCTGTTTTATAAATTATGCGGTGGATTTAGATATGCGATTATGAAATATGCAAAAATATTTCGCGTAATTATTAACTATGTGTTTTATTTGGATATATGTTATGCGACAAAATCAAGCATAATTCTTAATTATGAATTGCGCGGCTTTCGGTTTAAATATGTGATTCGTAAAAATGCGAACATATTACGCACAATCGTTAATTATACGGCATTATAATTTTGAATATGTAAGTCGTAAACTATGCAAAGCAATGTCGCATAATCATCAAGACGTTCAATTTGGATATGCGATATCTAAAAATGCAAAACTTTCACGCATGTGTTAAATTATGCGGTGAATTTTAAATATACGATTATGAAATATGCGAAAGTATTTCACGCAATTATTATTTGGATATGCATTGCTATATATATGAATCTAGCATAATTATGCAGTTCATTTTAATATATAATTTTAATATTACATCGTTTTGGGAGTTTTTTTAAGTGAATGGTATTTTTTGTAGATCGATGTGCAAAAGAAAATGCATGTATATATTAGATGTAGAAGATATTTGCCCCTTTTTTTTCGGAATGATATAAATTTTATATAAAAAATGCACAAATGTGCAAAGGTACAGCCACGAGCTGAATATAGACAGCCAATAGCTGATTACAAGCATCCAACAGCGGAATAGACCGAGAGAACAGGACCGAAGTCCGTCTAAAATCGATCCCAACGGGGTAATACTCTAGAAACACAAAAATAACACGACGACACTAAGAACTCTCAAGGGGAGAATAAAAAACATACAGAGACGACCCCAACAGGGTAATGCCCAAGTATACGATCCCAACAGGATAATAAAGTCATACTCGGGCTAACTGAGGCCAACGGTCCAAACCTAAAATATTGACAACACAAACCAAAAGAAAAACAACGCAACACACTAAAAAGATAACTACAAACTAAATAACATACAGCCTCCCTCAGCAGGAACATTCGGAAAAGACAGCAGACAAAGCCATTTCCGAGGAGAGCTCTGAAGCTCCGATACCACGCCTGCCACTGCAGAAGGCCTAGCAAGACGAAGACCCAAGCCTCAAGACAAACCAAAAAACCGACCCGCACACCGACCACAAGAAAACACAATTGCCCCCCAACCGGCTAACACCACACTAGCCAATCCAAAACTGTCCCGAAATTGCCTGACACCACTTGCCAACTCCGGAAACAGACGGCCTCCCACAAACTCAGTAGCCGAGAAAGATGAGGAATGGGATGAATGGCATCAGAGCTCAGCCGCTCCGACCCTGCCTGAAGGGACAAACCCAGCCCAAAACAACCACCTATCCACCTAGCCAGCAAGGATGAAACCCGACGCAACACCCCAGCATAGCCGAGGTACCAGAGACCTGACTCCAGCCAAAACTGAAGACCTGCAACTGGGAAGACCTTCCAGCCCGGCAATAAGAGTCGGTCCGACCAATGCTCGAATCCGACCTCCCCCACCCATCCCCCGGGGACAGACAACGGCCCACCCGCTGCCACACCAAACGCCGGCGAACAGAGAGCCGACGTGTAATCCTGCAAATCCATAGACACCCCGAGCTTAGTCCGTCGACCAAGACTGAAAATGTGGATACCTAAACAGGAGCGACACAGGCAACGAGCCACTTCCAGCCACTGGTCGCACTCCTCCTAGCATCTCAACCCTGGAGCTCTGGCGGTCTTCAATCACAGATCGAAGAAATCCGCCGAAGATCGCCATCCTCACTCTGCGTCCAAAGAGAGAAAGGAGGAAATACCACTGATGGCGGCGTGGAAGCTCGACGGTGTGCAGTCCACCGGCAAGCCGGATGAACACCGAGAGAGGCGTTAAAAGCCGACGACTGGAAGCTAGGGTTACAGCGAGAGGGCGATTTAGGCGAGAGAATTGATTACAAAAGAAGTACAAATTGATATTTGCCCTTTTATTTAATTATTTTATTTTAAATATTATTTTATTACAAACTCACAATCCCATTCAAATTTAACTAAACCAACTTCAAAATTAAGTTTGGTTTAAAAAAAAAAAAAGTCTGATGAACAGAAAAACCAATCAAAACCAAATCATCCAATCACAAACTTATGCTAACCAATCCTTTCAGTTTTTCTAATGAAATCACTTGCCCAAACTTACTGGTATCCAAAGTTCTTAAGGGGAAATATTTTTGGGATTGTAGTATTTGGGAGGTGAGGGCTAAACACAGTGACTCTTGGCTGTGGAAGAGTTGGCTTAATGCTAGAGCCTCTCTTAAGCTTGGAGCTAGATTTGCAGTGGGGGATGGGATTAGTATTAAGATTTGGGAGTCTCCTTGGATACCAGGCAAGCAAAGTTTTAAGCCCAGATGTTGCTTTTGGGGGGATAGGGGCAGGGTGAGAATGGTGAGTGAGTTGATTTCTGAAAATAGGAGGGTTTGGGACAAAGAGCTTATTTTGCAAACTTTTGAGCCTGGTGATGCTGATTTGATTTTGAAAATTCCTCTACCAGTTGAAGCCAAAAATGATTGGTGGGTGTGGAATGGAAGCAATAAAGGGGAATTCTCTACCAAGGTAGTGTATAAAACTCTTATGGCTGCCAAGCCCCCTAATCTGAATCTTCCATCTACTAGTGGGCAGAGGGATTGGGGTAAAGACATGTGGAGGACTTTGTGGAAGATTAATGTCAAACCCAAGATCAAGTTGTTCTTATGGAAATGCTGGTTTGGTTTTGTAGGGGCTAACCTCTGCTTGATCAGAATAGGTATTAAGGTGGATGCTACTTGTCACAGATGTGGGGAGGGTAAGGAAGACATTAATCATTTATTGTTTAACTGTCCTAGCTCCATAATCTGCTGGAAACTGGTAGGAGTGGAATGGAGGTTAGAGAGTAATAATCAAATGGATTTTCAGAATTGGTGGTATTCAGTGTGCAGTAAGAGAATGGGGGCTCACCTTAGAGACATAATCCACTTATCTGCTTTTCTGATGTGGAATATTTGGTCAGCTAGGAATAAATGGGTGTTTAAAGGGGACTGGATTAATGAAGTTGGAGTGGTTCAAAGGGCAAAATCAGAATGGATAGAGTGGGAAGCAAGGAAACTGCAGCCTAGAGGTAATCTTCTGACAGATAAACTTTCAGAGAGGGTAGGTAGGCCATGGTTGGCCATCAGTGCTCATTTATCTGGGGATGGAGATATAACTATATATGGAGTGTGTGGTTAAATTTGTTGAGGATCATATTCTGCATTGGGAAGAAAACAAAGCAGGAGCTATTGATGGGACTGAGGCAGCCTTAATTGCATCTCATTGGGGACTGCTGAAACTCAAGGAAGCTAACATACAGTGTTCCTCCTGCTATTGTTTTATAAATAATGCCTCAGTAATCAAGTTGCTGAAGAGTGTGGAGCTTGTCAGTAGGCGATTTGAAGTGCTTATTAATCAGATCCACTCTTTATGTGTTGATTGTAATGTATGTGAGTTTGCAGTGTTTTAATTTCTTTTGGTTTTCTGTTTTGTTGTGGACGACCGTGTTGGTCGGTTAGGGAAAGTATTTTCTTTCTCGTAATGCTGTGTAACCTGTTTGTGGGTTCCAGGGACTAGTGATCAGTTGATTACTCGATGTATTTGCACTTTTGTTTGAGTTATAATATTTATTTGTTTGTCTTGGAAAAAAAAAAACTAGGGCCACATTTTGACTAGTGGTGCACAAAGTTCGGTTAACCAAGCCGAATCGACCGAAACCAAAAATTCGGTTTGGACCGCAATCGAAACCGGACATTTGGTTCGGTTTTCAGATTACATTTTCTTAAAATTTCGTTCCGGTTCAGTTTGGATAATTGTGGTCGGTTAACAGAATCGAACCGAAACCGATTTATACACGTATATATACATATTTTTTATTTATACATATAAGTTATAAAAACATTAATTTGCTTCAATGATTGATGATTTTCAAACTTCAATGACATCTAAAATGGCTCAAGCATTAAATTGTATTCAAAATTGACTTCGTCATAGTCTAAGTCACAGTTCGGGTCCATAAGAGCATGTACAATGCTTTGAGTCTAATTGTGCTTACATGGCATGTAAATAGACTTAAGTCTTTGATGACATGGACAAAAATATAACAAAGTAAATAAATTAACTCCAATGCAAAGAGACTAGATATCTACTTGGGCCTGAAATAGACTCAATGGTAGATCGGGTTTCATTTTCTTACTGTGCAGGATTCAATCTAATTACATTTGCACTCGAGTATATATTTTTCTAGACCGGGTCTATTTCCTATGATACCTATATATTTTTTTGGTGGATGCTCTAATTTTTTTTTGAGGAAATTTAGAATTTATTTAGAAGAATAAACAAAGTGATAAAAAATCATTATTATTATTGTTCATATAAAACGTCAAATTTTATGTTCAATTAAGAATTCGGAATTTTTTTAGAAGATTAATTATTTAGCAATCCAAAAACCGAACCGTAAATTTCAATTCGGTTTTCGACTACGATAACAGACAAACCAAATTTTCGGTTAAGAAAATATCCAAGAAATAATCGCCAACTGACGAAATGTTAAAACAAGGAACCAAACTATAACTCTTCTCAAGAAATAATTCGTATCTTTGTGAAGAAATAAAAAATAACAATTATCATTACTGTTTAACAAGACTAACAAGGGATACATTTCTGATATCACAACATGACCAAGACAACCTATCTTCACCCACCACACACCACCCCAAGTGGGCACAAAGTGACCCAAAAGATAAAAATGAATATTAGGCCTAGAAAAGCCCAAACCTGCTGGCAATCAAGTCCCAAAAACATGTCTGTGCACAGGCTGGGTATCTAAAGTGTCAAGAACTCCTATCCATGGTTTGTCAATGACCAGTAGCGAATTTTTCGAAAGATGTTCCACGTATAAAACAGGATCCCTGAAAGCACAAAACTCAAAGTTTTTTCGCCCACCGTTTTTGGTTTCTAGTTCGTGCAGTTTACGTTTCAGTACCCCATTGCTGTGTAACTTTCTCGTCAGTCCCTGTTCGTTGGCCACGTCAGCATAGTCTTCTTTATCAACGGGCATCCCGAAATCGATCAAGCACATTGCCCTGCAGCATTAAAATGGTTATGGTAATGGAATTTTTTTCAAGGTAATATCTGGGGAAATAGTAGGTGGTTAAATATTCAATACATTTACAAAAGGATCACACCATTAAAGTCAAGTATCCTCCACATTTACTCTGAAGGAAATTTTAATACCAAAACTTTGTACTTTATCTTCACCATAGAAGAATAAATCATAACAAAAAATTTGTGGACCAGCATACATTCATTCTAGCAAACTAGATGGGTTATCAAAGCCTATTACTCATTAAAGTAAATCCAATACAGTTCATAGGATCATAAAATGCTCCAGAAAATAAATAAAATATCCAAAGCAAAAAATATCAAGACTGTTTAACAAAGAATATCATAAAAAAAAAAAATATATTATCGTAACTGATGTTGGGAAGGTCGTATACACAACGAAGCTGGACGTGGAAGAAGCATTAAAAAACTCTCGTGTAGCCTGGTGGCCTCACTAGAAAGATAAACTAAACCCAGTAAACTCTTAATTCTTGTCATTTACCATTCAAAAAAGCTAAACGTGATTAACATATAATATAATAGCTTCTAACAAAGTAGTGCAACAAAAGGGCTTGATAAAAGGGTTATAAATTTACCTGGGACTATAGACTATGACAGAAGAAGAATTAGATGATGGTTGGAAGGAAAGACCAATAACTTCTCCAGGGAACTCTTGATATGTTTTAGGCAGAGAAAAAGTGTGTTTCATGGACCACTCTCCCAACTGCTTAGCTTCCACATCTAATGCATACACCTGATTTGACGAGGTGGAGATTATGAGAACGTTGCTGTTTTGTGGACTGAAACCACCAGCAGTTACAGAGGCTCCATCCAATCTCGATATAAACCAGTGTTGTCTGCAATGAAAACAGTTAAGTTACATCAAGGAAATCATCAACATATTCACAGAAAAAAATAGAATATAAAAATGGGATTGCACTGTTTCTTCATACAGCCGATCATCAAGCATAAAAGATAGCACTGCATTTTTGTAAAAGTTCCAGTTTAACGAACTAGTTTTACCCAAAAATGTAAAGCGCGCATGTCCCACAAAAGCAATTATGAACAGTATTATGAACAGTATGAACCTTCCACAAAGCAAAATTTTTACAGACATGTATTAATATTATTAACTTGACGTTTAGAGTTCAAAAAATTGCCTACCAAGATGCAAATATTGTTAGTAAAAATAATAATAAAATTGATAGCTCGTAAAAGCAGATACAACTTGATCCATACGAGGCTAATTTACACGGTTCAACGAGAAACAAGAGCACCATACCTTAGTGTCTCAAGATTGAAAATATACACATCTCCAAAACAGTTGATGGCAGCAAACCACTGGCCATCAGCACTTGTGAACATCTTTGTGATGGGAGGTTCACCGGGCGGCAGGGTCTGATCATCGTCTTTGCGGCAAGGAGTGAAAGCATGCACTAATTCCGTACTTCCCACATCTACCATCTTCATCATGATTATAAATTTAAAGAATATTAATCCAATACTAAGCGACTAAATAATGGGAGTCCCAAGTAAACATCAAATGGAACTTCAGAATGACAATTTAATCGTTTAATCACATCTCATTCACCATTTACCCAAGATTGATTCTTCTACTACAAATATTGTCAATAACAAGTATGGAAAGAATAAGCACACATGCAGAAGCATCCATGTCTAACAGATAGCAAATAAGTAATATTACAATTGATAAGGTTGTATGAAAGGACAATGTGAAACACAGCAACTCAATAAAATGTGATGAGGACATCTTTTTCAGGGCAATTTCTATGAACGATGCTTCAGATAAAAATTTAACATGAGCATACATAACACAGCCTCAATAATAACGTCTTTCGTGTGGAAGTCCTGGGAAGTTAAAGTTCTGGCAGATATATAAATGTATAATTCCATTCAGCAATAGCAATTAAAGAAAGGGCTCCATGAGCCAAATTTCCTTTCAGCATAAAGTGCCTCATTTTAACTACAAGCTTCAATTGATTAAATAACATCATTCTCATATTATGATCTTTTCATAAGGGTTGGCAGTTTGTCATTTCCCAAAAAAGCAAATACTATTCAATAGACTAGAAGGTCGCCAATTAATACGAACAAACAAAAAGCATGCCTAAAGTTATGCAAACAAAGGATGGGTAGTACATACATATATCCTCCTGTCATGCCCAGCTAATAGTAATCGTGAAGAATCAGAAGTGAAAACCATGTAGTGAGCAAATGGCAATTCCTTAGGCAGCGGCCTTTTATTTACAGTCCACGAACCCTTGCCTGATTTATTTCTCCTCAATTCAAATAAACTGGGTTTTACATGGTCTGAATAGGCAAATGAAGTGCCTGACGAAGAAATAGCACTGCAAATGATCTTCTGAGAAACCTTACATTTAACTCGAGCTATTAAATCTGTGCTTGCAAGCCCACCAGGTGTTCCAAGACCAAAATTGGATGCACTATGGCCTTTTAAACGCACATAACAGATGTCTAATGAGTGGGCAGCCTGGATCAAAAGCAATGGAGTCGGATTGAGAACTGTTTTAGGCACAAGTTGCATTGGCATTCTCTGTGGTGCAGGGCATATATCATGTGGCGAAAACTTGGTGAACTCTTTTACAGAATAGGCATAAAGTTTAGTGTCATCACCGGCTGAGATAAGCATGGGTACACTCAAATGGGCCCACTTATGGTAACTGAATTCAAGGGGCTTCTGGCGACCTCGTGCCCTCTTCACCTTTTCATTGGGTGGCAGATCTGATTACAAAATGAGAACAGGTGAAATGGATTTAAGACACCAAACTGGTAAAGAAAATAAGAGGAAAAAAGGAAATGAAAAGGCATGCAGACCAAAATCTAATGATGAAAGCATCAAACGTTAAACAGAGTGCATGAACCTACCTTCATGGCAGATGGGGGTAGCCACAGTCAATGCCCTCACATCATGTGTATGAGCTCTCACATAACCAACATATATCCATTTCTTAATAGCGTCTGGAGTCAACTTTCTGTCACCGGAGGCAACAATCTCACTAGAAAGTTTATACAGTACAACCTACCAAAAAATCAGGTTCTCATCATATAACTTACCATAGTACAGAAGAAAAAGCAAAAATCATTTGAAAAATTGTTTCGTAATTATACCCCTATTGTCCTCTATATTAGAATTTCCAAATAAAACCTATTTTTTGCATAGGATAACAAAGCATGAATGTACCTGACCATCAGATCCAGCAGAAAAAACTCTATTGTGGTTGGGGGCTGCTGTCAATGCATTAACATCGCCCTTGTGATAAGAATGTGCCTGCAAAAGGGTTCCAAACTTACCATCCCAGAACTGCACACTACCAGAACTGTCCCCACTAACAATGGTTCCACATCTGAAACCAAAAAGAAATAAGAAGAAGCAAATAAAAGCCTAAAGCACTCACATGTAAAAACTAAGATTTGAACAGAACATGGTACCTCAATGCAAGTAAAGACCATATACATAAATCCCTTCCACTGCCCAGCCCTCCAAGCCCAACAGTTATTCTGTAGACCTCATGAAAAGACTTTACATCCCAACATCTAACGAACCTATAATTTTATATTCCAAAAAGAAAAGAAAGAAACATCAAGGACTTTCAAAAGGGAAAAAAAAACCCAAAATGTCTCAACAGCACCATTCGCAAGTTAAGCATACCCGTCACTACTCCCTGAATAAATCCTACTCGAATCAGGACTCCAGGTTACACTTAGTGTACGTCCTGCAAACAGTAAACAATGGGAGGCCATATTATAAACCTCAACATCAAGGATTCCGTAAAAGGTTTCTCAAGATTTCAGAGCAGAAATCTCACCGGTGACCCTTGGCAATGTTCTATTGTAAGTAAGCTTTTCTTCATCTGACACACCATAGATCCGCACACAGCCATCATCACAAGCCAGTGCCAGACGGGTACTCTTTTCATCATCTTGGATTTGAATTTCATGTAGCGCTGTATTGTCATCTTCATCTTCACTTTCACTGCCCTCCACTTCATCAACATCACTAGTGGTTTCAGGACTGGCTTGACCATTCTCATGAGGTTTCATTTCTTCCCTACTACTGAGCAGCAAATCATTACATGGCTCTGCAGCAATCTGCCAAATCGAGACGCCAATGGAATCTAGAACTTTCTGCAGTAAAGAATGTAACAAAAAGTAAACCCATGAAAAACTTAATTGAGTCCTTTAATAGACATAATTTTAGAATGAGATTTCTTCATAAGATTTCTATCCAATGTTATCAATGGCAGAAGGATAAAAATCTCAGCATGGCTGCCTGTGGCGCCACCATAAACACCATCTTTCTAATGGTGGTTAGGCAAATTCCACCAAGCCATACAGGCATGGCATGGCGGAAATTTGATAACATTGTTTGTCTCTGAAGATATAAATGCCTACGGTACATCAATAACAGAAATATTTAATACTTGAAGAGTTTTCAAAACCAAAGTAAACTGACTTTGGAAGATCACAGTGTACACGCCAATTTCATAGTCTTCTTCACGAAACATGAAGCAACAGCTGATGGCATCATTTACATACAAGCATTTCAATTTCAAGTACGTATTTTTGTCCCAATGTCAATTTTGCCTCATATGGATCAAATATTCAGAACTTACAGAAGTTCTAGTTTCACTAGCTGAATTCTATATATAAGCATTATGCAGTACTGCCTTTAGAATATAAAACCATATACTGAAAATAGTTGGATTTCTTGATGTGAGTGTTTACCTTTTGCCTCAAATCAAACAAATCCCACTCTGAAACTGACCCATCGATGCTTGAAGACAACAGTCGGCCCAATGGCCCACCTCTCGGCCCCGACCAACACCACACCAACGACGACACTCTCGAATTAGGGTCCCCGTGTATCGTCTACACATGAACCCCCAAACACAAATTATCAAATTAAAAAAAATAAAAATAAAAAAAAAAAAACTTTTCTGTTAAAACAAAAATGGAAAACGGGTTTTCAACGTTAAATTGGAAAATATAGAAAACAAGAGAGTGGTGTGGCGTACAAGCTGACAGTGCCAGCCGACGGAGCCGGGAGAAACGAGCCAAATCTCAAGCGAGCCATCTGCGCGGGCAGCGGCGACCTGAGAGCCGTCGGCGCTAGTGGCTAGGGCCACGACGGCTGAGGGCTTCCACTCGACAGAGCTGATTCTATGAACCTTAATCATTTCCCCAAATTGAATTCTTTCGAAATTTTAGGGGTTCCGATGAGGAGAGAAGCCTGCATCAGAGAGAAGACAGAAAAGTGGGCGAAAGAGAAAAATTGGCTGCAGTAGGTTTTCGAGGGTTTAAGCGCGCAAGAGTTTGGCCCAGTTCTGCCGGGCCGGGTACACGTGTTGTTGTAGCAACATGTGGACCGAATTAGTAATTCTGTGTCACGGGTAATAGATATTAATTAATATTTATTAATTAAAAAATCACATTAAATATTATTAATTATAAAAAACATAGTAATAATGTGCCTATAATAATTTATTGAAAATATTATATAAAATTTAAATGGTGCAAAATTACATAAAAATGTCTATTTAAAATTAGTATACAATCTACGCGTTGCACATAACTGATAACAAGTTACATTATATTCGTTTCAAAATATGTGTCATTGTCAAAATTTTTATTCAGAAATTCGATTTGACTATAACGTTATTCCGTAAAATAATTAGTTTGGTTGAATTTTATCATATATTTAAAAAGCTATGTGAATAGTAAGTATAAATATAAATTTTATATTATTTCATTAATCTATATAAGTTTACTTTTGTATAAAGTATCCAAATCAAAATATTTAAGTAGTTGAGTAAAAACAATCAGCCATAAGGTTTTTTATGCCACAAGAATCGACACTTCTTATTATGCAAAAAAAAAAAAAATGAACAGTGCATTTCACACAAAAATTATTTGAATTGTCGTAACAAAAAAATGAATTAATCGAGACCCATTAATTACATTAAAAAAAATGACCAGAGCTTTTTCTATAAAAGAAACATCAATACACGCATATTATATCAAAATATTCGTTCATATTATTTTGTCGGAGTTACGTTAATTTATTATGTTAATTTCATACAAAAAATGGAAACTCACGCCTAAAATCAATATAGTGGCCTGCTCATTATAGAAAACAGTACATCGTATATTGATTAACTATGGAAATAACCATCAATACCAAAAATATATTCCTCCACTTTATACCATATATTAATTCACATAATTTGAGTAATTAAAGTATCTTAAAATATGGTTTAGTTACTTCCTTAGATAATGAGTCTCAATTTCCATAAACGATCATTTGATATATACCATAAATTGTTAAATAAATTTCTCAAAATAGTAAATAGAATTTTTTGGAGGGAAATAGCTACTATTTAAAAAATTATCAAACCTTTATATATATAGATGTCAACGGACACCACTAGAACTAACAAAATAAATAAATAGCTGGACTAAGCAAAATAAAACACAACAAAAGGTACAAAAAAAAAAAAAAAAATGACGCACACTTAAATAGACTAATACCTCCCCTACACCTAGCAAACAGACCACACAACTAGCCAAATCCCCAACACATAAAACCAACGGAAATCTGAACCTCATATACAAAAACCCAACACAAAATACCATTGAACATATTTTCTTCCAATGTTTTAGAGCAAGTTTTATGTGGAATATTGGGCCAGATCAATGGGATGAAATCTGTAATTCTGATTGCTCTTTCAATTCTTGTGGTGGCAAGTGTGTTTAATTGAACATTCCGAAGTTGTTGAAGCAAGGATCCAACTACCTGCGCAATTGCTCTGGAAATAAATAAACTTGTGGCTATTTGAAAATTCAAATCTTCCAGTTCATATGGTGGTAAAAGCAGCACTGAAGAAGTAGTCTAGTTTTGTGCTCAGAAGTCCTAACTTTTCAAGTTTTAGTTTAGTATGTTGTCTTTTCTAGTTGTTATTTATTTTTATTTTTTTTTTTGAATTTTTTATGTCGCTTTTAGGAGGAGGTCCTAGCTAGGCGGTTGTAGCAGTTATTAAGTTCTTCTTCTTTTAGTCTTTGTCTGTGTGTTGGTGGATAGACAAAGGGATCATATTTATGCCTTAATTACGAGTTTGTATCTCTAGGCAGCTTTTATGCGTGCCCTTCTAAGTTGTTAATTTTAATGGTAGTTCAGTTTTGCTCTATATTCGAGCTTTATTCCGTTTGAGTTTTTATGGGCATAATTGTTTATAAAATAGAATCCAATTTAACTAGTTTTATACTGATAAAGTGAACTAATAAAACTAGTTTTTAACTAGATAAAGTTGTCTGCTCCATGTGCCACACCCTCCTCATTTCACATGTCCTGCATGTTGCATTTGTTATTTATAGGATTAAAAAAAAACCAGCCGGGTAGTCTGTCTTGTCGGCCACACACTGCAAAAGCTGATTACATTTTAAAAAAACAAATTAAAAAATATTTTTACTTCTCATGCAGTGATACAAAAAAGTACCATTCCCATGCAGTATTTCCTTGTATTTATTTTATTTTTTCACGATTCCACCAGATTTCTTTATGGAAAAACAGTGCATGGTTATTTTTAATTTGTCATTGGTGGTTGGTTTGGAACATTCCAACGTCTGGGTCACAAAAATAAGAATTGGATACAAATGATTTTCGAATTTCACCATAGAAAATTCATTACAGACACATTGTGATGGAGGTACAAAAACACTGACATAAAAAAACGCGGGACCACAACAACGAAGGAAACAACAATTCAAGATCTAATATATTTTAGAACAGCTATAAGACATAAAATTCCGAAAATAACCCATAATAATAAAAAACAAATTGGACAAACGATTAGAAATGTTGTGAGACAAGTAGATGAGGGTGTGTTCGTCATGGAGTTTGTCGTTGTCGTCGTCGCGTCTCCAAAATGTGAAATATGGTCACTTTGTCTGCTACTTTATTCACCATCTCGTGTAATGCCGTGAGTGTTGAAACTCTCTTGTGAATAACCTTCTCGGTTTAAATCAGTTGCCCATATGAAACTTCTATGGTGTTGTTGGGCGACCGGACATCGAAAAAAATACTTACCATAATTCTTTTCAGTACGTGCCATGAAACGCTTCATAGTACCGCGGCCACAATAACACATTGGCGGTTGTGGAAACATCTTCTATATATATATATATATATATATATATATATATATATATATGCATGTACGTATGTATATATATATATTTTACGGATGGACTGATTTCAATGAGCTCTATTTATAGGATGAGAAGTAATAAAAATAGTGGAAGTAGGGAAAATTGCACTCTTGATCAACTTAGCTGTAAAAGAAAATTGCAGGAGAATCCGCCCTATCTCGTCCTTGCGTTTGTTTGAATTTCCTGGCAAATTTGCTTTAATATTTTGTCCACTTGTACTTTTGTGTTACATTCACGCATGCATGTGACTAGTAGGGATGTGATATTTTTAACTCCAATAAGTCCAACAAAAGAAATTGATATTAGAAGATTTGTTCGTAAAATTTTTATAGCAATAACATAATTTTAATTAAAGGAGGTATTGAAGACATGTCCCGATTATTGTTTTTTTTTTAAAACAATGTGGGTGTTGTATGTATTAATTGTTACCAGCATGAAAAATATCACGTACTTTTTTTCATGTATAGGCAACGGAAATTTCAAACCAAATATGGAAGAGTGATAAGACGACATTTTTTGTGTACTGTAACTTCAACAAAAGGGACTCCATATGCAGATTTTTTTGGATCTCTTTACATAAGCATGATTTAGAAGGCATTGTTAACAAAAACGAGGACGATATGATCTATCACATTTGGGCAAGCCGAGAGTTTACTTAAAAATAAAATACGAAACAGTACATCAAATGAATATCTCAGTCCTTCGCACCTCTTTATTTTGATAACCAAAATAAACATTTAACCGCAACCAATTCTAACGTTCAGGCCTTCTTCGCGCCACCATCCGACTAGCTTCCACCATGTAATCCGCATATAATTGGTCCATCGTCAGGAGACTTGGGTGCCGCTTGGAGATTTCTTCATCCAGGGTAATCTTGAAGGATATTTATTTCAAATGTCGTCTCTAAAACATCCCACAATGCCTCACGAGAATGAACATAATGCTCTGTTAATGGCCAGTGCTGGAACACGCGAATTATAGCATGGGTGCTAAAAAGATTTGAGATTAAGAAATACGTTCATGTTACATAGAACAAGTATATAAATACAAAAAAAAAAAACATCTTACATGCTTCGCCGTTTCCCATTGGTAGTCATCAAGATAGATCTTGTTCAAGTTGTGTCGTAAACAACACCGTCTTGTTGTAACAAATACCGAAATATATGGTACCTATCCTTCAATACCTTGAATGTGACATAGCATTCCATGAAAGTGAGATTGAGAGAAATTTCTGCGAGGCACGTCTGGTACAAAAGGTTGAATGCTTGCTCGATATGTAACTCGCGCAACATGGCTTTCGATCGAATAAAACTTTGTAGTACTCTTCGTTACGCGCATTCCATTTGTTTGAAAAACCTTCGTGAATAAAATAGAAGTGTTCACCCTTTGAGTTTATCTGTGGAAAATTCATGATTTGTAGTATGACTTAAATGGAGTAATTGTAGTGATTGTTGCCCACAAACCATGAGTGTATTTATATAAGTGGAGAACGTGTCCGATTGGTATGGTTGGGCAAATTACACGTGTGCCAATTTATTTTTGGGGCCATGTGTTTTTAACATAATTTTTGTTATATTAATATCAATTATGAACATAGCTTCATTTTCCCAAATTTTTTTTTTAAAAAAAAGCCTATTTACAATTGTACTACACAATTGTAATGCAGATGAATATTAATATAAATTAAAACAAAATAGGAGACCATTCATAACTTTGATCAACGGATAAAAAATATCAATAGAGAATAGACACCATCACATAGGTTTGGTACACCACAAAATACGAATCACCCACAACACAAAATGAGGTACACCAACCTAACCTCCAAACATAAATTACATCTAAGCAACCTCGAAACGAACACAAACATAAAGAATAAATGTGAAGCACCATATAAACCCTTCAACCATTTCAGTGTCATCAACAAACTCCAGAGCATCCCAATTTTGCATCAACACTTTTCCATGTCCTT